AAGTCCTTTGTATATACTATTTCTAAACCTAACAGCTATTCAAATAGCTTGTGTGCCTTTTTAAATAAAATTCTGATCAGAATCTAGAAGCCATGTTGGTGTCCATCTGAATCCTAGGTTCCTGTAGAAAGATATCTCTGAACAGTTGGAACACCTGATCCTTGGAGGTCCTCGCAGGTGTTCACCCATTCAAACATATAGTCTTGCCTGGTCTGACCCAAAGTGATAATTTTGAAGCATATCAAGAAGAAATTTAACAACTATGATGGATAGATGTCCCAGCCCACACTCAAATTTACAAAGAAAATATAAATAGTATTTATGAGAATTAATAGACCAAGAGGGGTTCATGGATCTAACCAACTGGTCAATTCTATAACCGATTATGATATAGGAGATCATATGTATTGAAAGCTTTTGTACCTGATACTATTCTAATCATTTCTATATATAGTAACTCATTTTATCTGTACAATAACCCTCCGATATAATTTATAGTCAGGAGTGACTAATAACCTTGGGATAGTATTAGAATTGACTATCGTAATGAACATCCCCCAAATCTTGGTGGCCTCACACGATAGAAGATTTGTTTCTTGCTTATATCACAGTCAACTGGGTGATGGCGGACAAGTTTCCACTGTGGCCTGGGCAGGCAGCACCAGCTTTAGGGCCTCAGAATCCTCTCCTGCATCTTCTGCAACTGGCCAGCAGACAGTGAGAAGAGGAGAGGAACATGAAGACTCTTGTGGGAGGTTTTAGGGGTCATCCCATCATGGCATCGCCATGTGCCAACGTCAGAACCAGGCCAGGGCCCACTGGGTGCAAGGAGAGAGCGGGAAACGTGGTCTTCCTTTGTTCCAGGAGGGAAAAGAAGCAGCGTGGTGGGCGCACAACAGTGTTTATGCCACAAATAGACACTGTTGTTATCCCTGGTTTATAGCTGAGGGAATGAAGGCATCGAAAGGCTCAATACCCCGTATGACACAGGCAAGAAGTAGGCTGGTGTCGCAAAAACAAGAAGCCTTATTCCTGAGCACATGCTTATGACCACGACTCTGTACTGCCCTCACTTACTGTAGGGTGAGAACCACTATTCTCATCACTATTTGGTCTGATCATTTCACCCCAGATCTAATCCCAGACTGTTATTTAAACATATTTATGGTTGGGTAAGTGTGCCATTTACAGAGTCCCAATCACAGATCATATTAGAAGCCAGTTTTTCAAATAAAACGAGTTCAAACTCCAGGAACACTGTACACCAGCCTTTCGGCCCCACTGTCCCATATTTTTGTTTCCAACCCCAGACCCACCTATCCACGTACGACTTAGCGCTTCCACCACCCCAAAAAATAAAATAAAAAGTCCTGATAAAGCTTCCGCAGTATTTAAGAAGGTCAAAGGGAGTTTAGTGAGCATATCTGCCTGTTCCTGAAGTTAACCAGACACTTGGTTCTTTTCCTATCATGGAAGTTTAAAAATACCAAACAGGGAGCTATGAAGGCGCTTAGGCCAGCCTCCCGCGACGTGCCCAGCGGCAGGCTGCTGCCTGACTCTCCGTGCCCGCCCCTGCTGCTCCTGCGTCCAGCCATCTGCAACCCCCGTGCGCGAGGCGCCTCTCCCTGAATTCCAGCAGCAGCCTCGGACTGGCCTGGTCGGCCCCTGTTGCTGCAGAGCCCTGCCTGTCACATGCGTCCATGTCAACACGCCACCTGTTCTGGCAGGAAGCGAACTTCTATTTCTTCCTCCTTTGGGAAATGTGCCTGCGTCCGGCATCTGTCCCCACTTATCCTGCTTCCCACACTGGGGCAAAGAAGTCATTTCATTTCTCAGGCCATCTTTCCCACTTAAAAAAAGTTCTTGGAAGCATTATGGAGTCACCTCAAAAAAATTGAAAAATGGAACTGCCTTATGACCCAGCAATTCCACTTCTGGGAATTTATTGAAAGAACCCCAAAACACTAACTGGAACGAATGTATGCACTCCTGTGTTCATTGCAGCACTGTTTACAGTAGTCAAGATTTGGAAGCAGCCCAAGTGCCCATCAGTAGGTGCGTGGATGCAACAGCTGTGGTACATTTACACGATGGAGTACTACTCTGCGGTAAAAAGGAAGAACAGTTTACTGTTTGCGACAGCATGGATGGACCTGGAGAACATTATGCTAAGTGAAATAAGCCAGTCAGAGAAAGACAAATACCGCATGATTTCACTCATATATGGCATTTAATGGACAAACTGAACAAGCAGAGACAGACTCATAGATAGAGAGCAGGCAGACAACTCTGGTGTGTGTGTGTGTGTGTGTGTGTGTGTGCGCGCGCGCACACGTGCATGCGGGGGGAGGGGATAGAAGGATTGAGAAAAAAAGAAAAAAAAAAAAACAGAAAGACCTAATGGACATGGACACCAGTGGGATAATTGTGGGGGGCTGGAGGTGGTAGAGGGTATAGGGAGCATAAAATATTTCTTTTATTTTATGTGATGGAAAAAATAAAATAGGTTTTGAGTTCTCTTTCAACTGTCATGTTGACTTCTCTGACTCCCTCTACTTCATGTATTAAACTATTCTTGGCCGGGCCGGTGTGGCTCAGTGGATTGAGCATCGTCCCATGGATTGGGAAGTCCAGGTCCGATTCCTAGTCAGGATACATGCCTGGGTTGTGGTCTTGATCCCCAGTAGGGGGCGTGCATGAGGCAGCTGATTGATGTCTCTCTCTCCCTCTTTCTCTAAAAATCAATAAAAACATACTTAAAAATAAAAATTTTTTAAAAAAATAACTATTCTCATTTCTTGTATAATATTCTTGCTCCATTTTCTCTTATGGGCCTCCTATTTTTTCTGTCTGGAGTCCTAATTTCATCTCCTTTTCACCACCTTTGATCATATAAAAGAACTCTTAAGTAATCTAAGATATTTTCATATACATCAACGACTGATCTTGATGGTTTTCATTGCTATTCTGGAACACGTTGTCATTTATCTTTAGGCAAGTTTGACTATTTGCTTTGCTTTGCTCCTAACAGTGCATACTAAGGCATAGCTACTATGAGTGAGAAAACATGATGGTATTTAAATATGGGCCTACCCTGTTGACCTGCACTTTAAGAAACACTGCTTTCTGAATTTAAAAAACACAACAAAACCTTGGGCTTTCACTTCCTCCCAAATCCCTGCCACCTCTGTTGTTTCAAACATGATTTCTTTGGAAAAAACAAATGAACAAACAGGTTCCAGGGAGGTTGTCTCGCTGCCGTGTAGGCAGGTCGGATGCATTCTCTTCCGACAGAATCAGCCTGTGATCTTGAAGAAGTGAAGCCACAGGACAACAGTATATTTAAAGACAGATATTATGGGACCGGAAGCTCAGAGAATTTAACTTTACTTCTGTGACTCAGATGCCTCCCATTTTAAGCAAGTCATCTGAACACTGTGTACTTTGGCTTTGCCTTTTTATAAAAAGGAAACCAATAAAAATATAGCACCCAAAATATGGGCCCCTCACAAACTTCCAATAAATGACTCATTAACATCCTCTTCAGAGTGATATAGGTAAAAAATTAATGGGCTTACCAGCGAGCCTGTTTCCCAGGAATTGGTGTCTTGTGACCAGTTCATGCCTTCCTCTTTCTGTCTCCTTCGGCCAAACTTTCATCCCGTCCATCCCTTCCGATGAGAATACTGGATGTGCCTGATGGGCTTCCAGGGGCATGACAATTTTAGTGGAAAACACAGGACGAGCAGGTGGGATGACATTTATGGTGCATACTCTTGGAGATGATATGGATTTCTGCATCCTCATCCACCCCTCTGTCCTCTCTAAGACACAATGCCACAAGTCTGTAATCCTGCAAGTTGTCAAGGCAACTTGGGCTCGCACCCTGTGAGGTTAAGTGAAGGAGAGAGCGTGAGCATCACTTGAAGTGCCTGGCACATAGTCAACACTCTGGTTCTCCCATCAGCTCAGTGGAAAAAATATTGAACTAGTCTCTCTTCCTCAGCCCTTCAAATATGAATGCCTAGCAAATTCTGTTTCTCTCCATTCCTTCGGCCTTTATATTACCTTGCCCCAGGGAAAGAGGGGTGGGCAGACCCTAAAACTCAGAGGTCACCATTTAGCTCTCAGTTGAAAAGCTGATGTTTTGAGTCTATAGTGTGACAACCACATTGAAAGCCACGCTTCTGAAAAGAAAAGACTGCTCCCTTGTGAAACCCTCTTTCCCTAAGGAGAGTCAAGGCTGGCAGATTGCATCCGGAGCTCTACCCATAAGCCCTAGAGAAAGGAGGGAGGGTGGGATGATGTAAGAGAAATGTCACCTGACTGAAGGGGAAGGCACAAACGCCCTGAAGCTTCTGGAGAGAGAGTCCAGGGAGGAGGGGAAGGAGAGGCAAAATGTCAGAAGAGGCACATGACTTCACCATCAGGACCAAAATTCTGGGGGGAAGGAAGTATAAGAGACTCTGAGAGCGGGTAGGCACATCCCTAAGATCTCACGATGCCTGTCAGGAAACATCCGAGGAGCCCCCATTGTCGGCCCAGCACTGGGCAGTGCGGCGCACCCAGGTGGTTGTTCAGAGAGGCCAGAGGTATCCTTCTAGGCCAGACAGAGCACCAGAACCTGCAGGTGTCTCAATAAAAGAATCAAGAGGCACCATAGACCACTGGACCGGAGGGGGACAGAGAAAAGTCTGGGAAGTAAGATGAGTTTATTTCATGATGTTGGGTCCTCACATCAGGAGACCACAATGCCTACCTCAGGTGCTAGGAGCAAATGAGGTGAGCTGCAGCACCCGGAGACTGCATGGGCAGCAGCGACAAGGTCTGAACAGTCACGTCATGACCTCTGTCATCCTGCGGCATCCAAGGAACAGCAGAGACGGAGCAGCGGTGAAGTGACACCGTTAACTGTCTCTGCCACCTGTGGAAACGAAGCACTCACGCCCAGACAAAGCAAGACCCGAGAGAGAAAATAAAGAAGCTGTTTATTGCCCATCTGAATATCATTCATAAACTTCTGACCCTTCTACAAAAATGCTTGAGAACTGGCCTCCTAGAGAAGCTGACTTTCGGCTTGTTCATGTGTAAGGAGAGTTTTTGACACAGGACATCCAACTGCATCACAGGCCTGTGGAGAACAGAGACACCTGCCTTGAGAAAAACACATTTTGAAGGTTCTACAGTATAACGGTGGTCATCTGCCACAGTCACCTATTTTACATATTATTTTTCCATAGGACAGGGGGTCACCTAAGGGCAGCCATCAAAACACACACACCTGCCGACGCGTCACACAGCCACTTAGCTATAGGAGTAGCCCTAAACAAAGTTTATGAGTCCTAATCAGATGCACCTCTGCTTACTGCCTGAAGCACTCCCTGGTTAGGGCTGAAGTAATCCGACTAAAAATATACCTACCAATCAACACATCCCTGTTGTTTCTAGCTGCACGGATGCTAAGGGTAGAAAAAGTCCCCAAATAGACTTCAGAGAGCCCACAGCTCTTCGGGACACTAATTCACACCAGTATTGTGGAAAGCAGAAGACTTGTGGAACAGTCACCAGCAATGTCAACAAACTGAAGGTGTTAGTGTGTGAAATGAGGCTGTTATTTTGATGACTGTGATAATATCAATGGTTCCTCCTTACAATCATAGGGTACTTTTAGACCACGGACACTAAAATTACCAGCCAGTAATTTGGAGATCAAATTTATAGCAACCGTTCAAAATAAATTGGTCCATTTCAACTCTGTGGCATTAAGCAACAGAAAGGATGTGAATTTCTCAAACTGGCTCGTACCATGTCCTTGTGGCTCCAGTTGATGAAGTTCTGGAGAGATGGTCTTTCAGACAGTACTCAGCTAGGAGGTCATTTCTGCTGTTGTCAGAATGGAAATCTCAAAAACACATATTTTCAAGTCCACAGGCTATCTTAATAGTCTGTTTCAGTAAGTCCAAAAGCTTTACTGTTGGAAAGTTCTTTATTTTGGAATCCAAGTTCTCCAGCTTCATGAGGAGTCAGTCTGTCCTCGAATGTCTGTCAGTCTTATTCCAAGTCTCCATCTTGAATATAAGAAGTCCTGTCTTCCTCTCGAATATCTCTAAGCATCCCTGGATGGTTTATGTTCCTGGAGGTTGCTTATTGCATCCACTGGGAACTGAGGCCTGATGCATGTGGCTGAAAGTTAACTGCTATAGTTTAAGCAAACCGGAGGAAGGGTGTTTTTCTTACACATTTGAAGTCTGGAGGTGAGCAGTCCAAGGCCTCTGTATGGTCGTCAGTGTTCCAGGCCCCTTCAATATTTCTTTCTTCTATTTTTTTTCCTTTATTAATTTTAGAGAGAGAGAGAAACATTAATGAACAAGAACATCGACTGGCCGCCTCCTGTATGCCCCGCACTGGGGTCAGGCCCACAACCCGGGCATGTGTCCTGACTGGGAATTGAACTGGTGACCCCTTGGTGCATGGGTTGATGCTCAACCACTGAGCCACACTGGCCGGACCCCAGTTGTCCTCTTAGCTGGGCACCTTTGTGCAGGGCACAACTTGCACCACTGTTTATGACAAACCTGACATTCCCCAGGGGTCAAGACTTCTGTCTCTTTTTCTATCACAGTAATTCTCAACCTGTGGGTCACAACCTTTTGGGGGGTTGAACAACCCCACAGGAGTTGCCTAAGACCATCGGAAAACACAAATTTCCAATGGCTATTCAGACAGTAACAAAATTATAGTTATTAAGTAACAATGAAAATAATTTTATGGTTGGGGGTCACCACAACATGAGGAACTGTATTAAAGGGTCGCAGCATTAGGAAGGTTGAGAACCACTGCTCTATCAGGAAAAAAAATCAGTCAATAAACATTATTTTTTTTTTTTCCTGAAATAAACCCGCTGACCTATTCCAAGTCTCCTGTATTTTTTTTTTTTTTTTTGATACATGCCCCTAGTGAGAACTGAACCCAGGACTCTCTGGTTCGCAGGCCAACGCTCCAACCGCTGAACCAAACCAGCCACAAGTCTCCTGTTTTATTAAACAGGATATTTCCCATCTCCGTCTGAAGCACCTGCCGTGAGGGCTCTCCATTTGTTCATTGCTTCCTCAAGAAGAACATGTCCACCATCCTGCATGAGAGATGTTGCTAACCACTGATTCCAAATGCTCCCTGTACAGCCATCGAGAGTTCAGAAAATGCGGGATCCCGTGTTGGAGCATCCCATCAAGTACATACATATCTAATGGAAATTCCTCACAGAAAAATCATGTCCATTGACCCTTAGGGGCCTGATTTCCCCGGCACATTTCAATGGACCATCTGTGCATTCTGAAGCTCCTTTGTAAAATTCGACTTCAGTGTTTACCTGAATTTAGTCCCTTTGTTGCTTTGAGCCTCTACTTTAGTTAGGGAAAGGGAATGACAAAAATCTCAGTTCTGCCAAGGTCTTTATGTCTTTCACTGTGACTCAGGACCCCACATACACAGGGGGTATGACAGACAGTGCCAGCATCACATCCAAAAGTACTCAAAGTGGAAAGGGGTCCTTGGGGAGGTCTGAAGGTTCTGAGTGTTGGTACTCAAGGGGAATGTAGTTGAACTGATAAATTTCTAAACACCCCAACATGTACTCTTCACCAATCCTCCTCATCTCCATCTTCCATACTCTGTTCCAGATAAGTGTGTGATTTTCCTCTCCCACCTCGGAACCTTCCCTCCAGTACTTCTCCCAGCTCTCTGCCAAGCCACATCCTTCAAACCATTGCTCAGGATATCATTCCTTCTGAAACTTGCCACGTGCTAAGTTGCCTTACCTGTCTTCACCTTGTTCAGCCTGACTCTCCCTCAGCACTTGTATGTAGCTCTGATCAGTTGCCCATCACCTTGCCCCTTTACTGATGGCTGTTCTGGTTCATCATGAAATGATGCAACTCACAAAAGGGGCATCAGGGCCTTCTACAGCCTCAGGAACTCCCCTTATATATTGTGTTACTCCTTGCCCAGAATAGATCATTTGTAATTGAGACCAATGCATGTTTAAGATCCAAAATTTCTCTTCACCATGCTCAATTTTCTAGGCAATTTACATTTGAGACCGCAAAACAGTGGGTGTGTAACTGATTCCAACCTTCTCTGGGTGGTGACGCAATCGAGGAGAGGCCATCTGTGTTTTCTCCATCTGCTGAGGCTTCTCTGAACCCGAGCAAGTGAAATGCACCAATTCAAGCTTCGCCTTACCAAGCAGCTTTTTCCACTGAACCAGTCCTCTTTGGAAGTCCACTGACTCTAGGTCTCCAGAGCAGTAGGTAAATAGATGGGCTAGAGTTCTATGCACATACTAATAAAGAATTGCAGCACCTCCAAGCCTCAGTTTCCTTACCAATAAAGTGAGATAATTATATACTGCTCATGAGTTTGATATGAGGATTATGTGAGGAAATATATAATCAAACCTTTGCATGTTGTAGGTGCTCAGCATATATTAAATCTCTGCTCCTCCTATCTCATGCTTATGCCGGGACATCCATTGTTCATTTGCACAAAGTCTCATATTCCCTCTGTTATTGTGAACCCTTCCAGGACAAAAAGTCACATCTTATTTGTCTTTAGGAAGAGTAGGGTGATAGGAATGTTAGGAATCATGAGCTCACGATCTTGGGCATGAACCTGTCATTCATTGTTCATGTGACATTGGGCCAGTTCATTTGTCAGTAAAATGAGTGGTTTGGTTTGGTGGATTGCTAAGATCTGTGTATCTATCCCAAATCCCCTAAAGAACTTAGTGAGTGAATGAGCACCTGATAAGCATGATATCCAAGACACTTTAATAGGCAAATGAGTAAGTGTCTAGTGTTTCAATAATATTGTGGTCCCATTGCGTGTTGCTCCCCAATGGGTTCCTTTAAATCCAACATACTAGAGAGCTTAATCATGCTGCAGCTTCTCAGGCCCCCAGAGGGAAGTTGTCCCTTAGAACTGAAGCCCCTCCACAAGCCAAATTATGAACCACCCAAGCAAGTCACATTGAATACACGTTCTCCCCTAAACCCCATTCATTCAGCTGCCCAGCAAAGATGCTGTGAGGATGCTGGTGGGAATGATAGATTGAGAGATAGGAGTCTAAATCCAGGTTCTGCAATTTCCCTTGGGTCTCACTCCCACAGCTGATGCTGAAAGGTGAGGTATGCAACTGGTGAGCAAATGCTTGGTGCTTTCTCCATCCAACAACAATGCAAAGAAGGTCACTAGTGATGCTGAAAATTGCTTTGAGATTATCAGATTGTAAAATTGCCCATTCTATTACCACATCTCTCTATAAGGAGAAATACTTTTTTCCTGCCCAGGACATTTATTTAAAATAATACAAAACCTGAGAAATGTGCAGTACAGTCAATCAACTTAGATGGCATCTTTGAGCCTATATTAAACAAAGCTGGGATGAAGTTCCCATCCCTGTTCTTAACCTATTCTTGGTACCATCACAGGAACATCTACGACATTTCTAATGAGCTAGTTCAGATTTTTCTTTAAGAATGTTAAGATACAGGATTGTTCTAAAACAACTTTATTTCTGCCTTTAAAAACCAGGAACCTCAAACAATACAAGCTTTTATAATTAATTGAAATTGGCCATAGGTCAAACTGGTGGGAGGAAGAGATAGGAAATTAGTCACCAAAAGGAAATGAATTGTCCAGCTTAAAAGATAACTTAACCTACCTGTAGCCATAATTTCTGTCTTGCCATAATCCTCATTTGGATATCTGGACTGAAAGGTAGTAAGGTATAGAGGTAGGACTCTTTCTGATATATTAGTTCCTTGCTATTTTCAATTTTCACAAGTTTTTTAGTTAAGGATTTGCAAAAAGACTTAGAAACGGATGTAATGAAGATTTCTAAGTCAAATGCACCTAGGCATAACTAATATACCCTGCTTCATCAGTTTGGAATAGGAAATAACTTCACACTTCTTTGAATGTTCAATCCCCTGTTCTCACTGAGAAGAGAAGTCTATACTTTCTTTCCTGGATATTGCCTATAAGAAGTCTGAGAACCCGCATCCACACAGGACAACAGAGTCACTCATTGGAGAAGATGACAGCTCTTGCTGTACCTCTAATGAAAGTATTAATCCATCAGTGTAGAGCAAGCAGAAGGACTGTTGACACCAACCGTCTGGGGTCAGGGAAGGCTAGTAAGGCAGAATGCTTCTCCCTAGAGTGCCATGTTCCACTCAGCCATGTAGCTCCATGCCATAGCAAGCTGGGTTCCAGTAAGATGTGTCTTCGTGATTAATTTTGTTCCTCATACACTCAACCACTTTCCACTGGGCATGACCATGATATAAAGGTGACTGAATCAGAAAAGGACAATATCAACATCAGAACAGGTCTCCTCTTGGACAACCTTGACTCTGTTCTTAAGCTTAAGGTTCTCAATATACGTAATGGTGAGTTTCCCATTAGGGCCTTCCTCAGAGACTTTTCCTGCTAAGTTAGTTGCATTAAAAACAATTTAATGTTTCAGAGATGATCTAATAACTTGGAGTATTTAAAATAAGTATGTTGAGTTCTGTTTCTCTTCAACCTTCAAAGAATCCCCTGAGATCCAAATTGGAAAGGAGAAAGTGAAACTGTCATTATTTGCAGATGACATGATATTGTACATAGAAAACCCTAAAGACTCCATCAAAAGTCTACTAGAGTTAATAAACAAATTTGGCAAAGTATCAGTATGTTTATATAAAAGTAACATCAAGAAATTAGCAGCATTCTTACACACCAATAATGAACTCACAGAAAGAGAAACTAAAAAAAAAAAAATCGCATTTACCATGGTGGCAAAAAAAATGTAAGATACCTGGGAATAAACTTAACCAAACAAGTAAAGGATCTATTTGCAGAAAACTACAGGACATTGCAAAAAGAGTTAGAGGAAGACATAAAAAAGTGGAAGCATATACCTTGTTCATGGATTGGAAGAATTAACATCATTAAAATGTCCATACTACCCAAAGCAATCTATAGATTCAATGCAATCCCCATTAAAATACCAACAACATATTTCACAAAACTAGGCCAAATACTTCAAAAGTTATATGCAACCAAAAATACCTTGAATAGCCACAGCAGTCTTGAAAAAGAAGGACAAAGTAGGAGGGATCACAATACCGAATATCAGGTTATGCTACAAAGCCATTGTATCAAAATAGCCTGGTACTGGCACAAGAACAGGCATATAGATCAATGGAACAGAACAGAGAATCTGGAAATTGACTCAAGACATTATGCTCAACTAATATTTGACAAAGATGGCAAGAGTATGCAA